TTCTTCTTCCAGCAAATGAAAAGATCATGTATGTTTCCGTGTTACTTGGGAATATGTTTGCCCGGCACGGTGAAGCTAAAGGTTGCTATTGGCATCCTCTCTATTTCGGAGGGTGACACCACATCTATGGCTATTGTAACGGGGGGGGTACTACTTTTCTGGAGCAAACCCGGCCTTCTATGCCTGAAGAAAGCGCATTCTCATTAAAAGACTGTCTTTTTCTACACTTAAATGTCTTAAACGAAAATAAACGCCAAGTAAAAGAAGATGAAACCGTACAACCTCTTCACGGAAACACCGACACGCATGAATCGAGGCGCATACTGAAAGAGAACAGGCCCACTATATCGTTAATTAGTTAACAGAAAAAACTGTCATTCAGTCCACGTCGAGGGGTTTTTGTTGCAGACTGCAACAAGCGTAACTCCACGGCAGGCTGGAATGTCTAGTGAATGTGCGTGGCCCGCCCAACTGCAGCATTGTCTGCCTAAAGTTGACACAGGCACATCAACGTGGCCCTGAAATGTTGCCTGCAAGCAAATAAAAATGCCTAATAATTGCTTATAGAGAAAGCATGCACCAAAAGAAGCTTCGTCGAAACTCTGATGTGCTCATACATGGGAGTGGCTTTCATCGCTAGACGCTGCGATGAGCCCTGCAATTACTGTCAGGCTGCCTTTTCCCCTTTCCCCCCGCGCTCTGAGGCTGAATGCCCAGGATGCCTGGAGACGGGGGAGGGAGGTCAGCTGCTTTGGGGAAGTTCGTACCTCAAATCTTTGGCTTGATTAGAGAGTTCTTGTCCTTGAACAAGGCCGGAAGACACGCTTTACAACGACAATCACGACTAAAGATGTTCGCGAGGATTGTCTGTTCGATGTTAGCACAGGATAATTCATTTAGCGTTGTTAAGCTGCCTGCAAGCAAATACAAATGCTCAACAAGTGTTTACAGAGATGGTGCATGCGGCAAACAAAGCGTTGTTGTACCTGCATGTGAAGCTGTCTTGCATCATTAGTTACAGCTGGGGGCACTGCAACTCATGGTACGCCGCCT